ACTGCATTGCTTCATTCAAATCTACCCTTAATTACCTTTCCTGACCATCCTGTCTAAAATAATCTTCTGCCACCCATTTGCCATTCACTCTCCATACTGTTATTCTGCTTTTTCTTTACCATCCACCATATTATATATAGTTTTTGAGTTTTAAAATTTCTTAGTCTATCTTAATCTGCCACCTTTCTCCCGCCACTATATTGTTTATGCTCAATCAGAAGAGGATCTGGCACATAATAGGTGTTCAATAAACATCTCTTCAATTAATGGATTTTAGCAAATAACTGTGGTCATTTCCTGAATATTTGCAGAAGATGTAACAACTCTGGCCAACTCCCCAAGTACAAGGTCCATGTATTTTCAATTTCAGTATTCCACCACATGGTGATGCTCTTGTTCACTTTACCTTTACAAATCTAAGTTTTAAACTCTTCTGAGATCCGTAGGAAAGCTATTTAGGTAAAACACAAACGGTAGCTATATATGGGAATTTTTACTCAGGGAACAAATTCTCTATTTTTGCTTTACAGTTTATATGTAATATTTGACAATCTATTTACAGGATTTTATACATGATGATTGTTTTTCTCTGCCTTCACAGTTCAATGAATGCTCAGTTAACAGCTTGAGCCAAGTAAGCTCCCAGTTGAAACCAAAAGAATACTGCTTTCTGAGTCCTAATGGTTTCCATCTCAATTGTATTGTTTCGGTGTCATAGTTCTTATTATTACTATCAAAACTTTCATTTTTTTCTGTCATGGTAAAGCACAATAAAATGTTCAGTAATTTTGCGCATACTGACACACTGAAATTGAACTGTGGACTGGAAAGCAGCCCCATTAGACATAATATGTGAGTTGTGCTTATAGTTAACATGAATCAAATACTAAATTAGAGGGTCCACAAATGTTAATAATACAATATGTAATAATCTTATACAAAGCTGTGGTACCAAGATATTCTTAGGTAAATTATAATAAAATGCAGTAATATTTTAATTTAAATTGGGCTTGGAACAAATGTAAAACTGAAAAATAAAACTTACACTTTAGATGGAGTTTCTATCTTCCAAATTTGACCTTGTTACACTTCAGATTTCTTAAAATCTTCATTCTCATCAACCCTGAGGCTCTCCTCCCTCTGAGACTTTGTGATTCAAATAACCCCCTGCAGCCTCTAATAGCTTTGACAATGTATGGCCTTAGGCATAAGTACTTCTGTTAGTGGGAGGTCTTTTTTGAAAAGCCCCAGAAGCCACCACCAACTCCCCTTAGGCAAAAAGTCTTTAATTAGCTGCTTATCTGATCACTTTTATCTGGGTCTGTTTTTAAAGTCCTTTACAGACCCAGAAAGAATTACTTTTACTTAGAGCATCTCCACAGCAACACCTATCTATTCATCTTTTCCTAGAGTAGGAAGGAAATTGATGAAGAAATGTATACAGGATCTCAACTCTCATTCATTGATTCATTTATTCTTTGGTCAAAATGCTATTAAGTATAATAATAAACAGCAAGTATTAACATTTGTATGAAGTACTATTAAGCATTATCTCATTTAATATTGACATCGACTCCAGAAGGTGGATAAAATTATTTCTCTTTTACAGATAGTAAAACCCCTATAGTTTTGAGACAAAAGCAGAATTAGATTTGGACCCAGCCTGCTTGATTTTAAAGCCCGTTCTCTTAATTTATATATTATACTGTGTAATACTAATCACGGGGAAATTTATCCTATATCTTTTAAAAATAGGTTGCAAATGTTAGATTAAGTAATACATATGGGAAGTGAAATTTGTAAAACATCCTGTATGTGATATTGCATGTCTGGGAATATTTTTACAGTGCATTTTGTTGATTAAAAAAAGGAAAATGGGCCGGGCTCGGTGGCTCACGCAGGTAATCCTAGCTCTCTGGGAGGCTGAGGCGGGCGGATTGTTTGAGCTCAGGAGTTCGAAACCAGCCTGAGCAAGAGCGAGACCCTGTCTCTACTAAAAATAGAAAGAAATTAATTGGACAACTAAAAATATATAGAAAAAATTAGCCGGGCATGGTGGCACATGCCTGTAGTCCCAGCTACTCGGGAGGCTGAGGCAGAAGGATCGTTTGAGCCCAGGAGTTTGAGGTTGCTGTGAGCGGGGATGACGCCACGGCACTCTAGCCTGGGCAACACAGTTAGACTCTGTCTCAAAAAAAAAAAAAGGAAAATGATTGCAGTAGAATTTGACAAATATGGTTTGTTTAGGAAAGTATTGAAATACAGGAATGATGCAGGAATGATAAAGAGGTAACTTGTAACTCCAAGATACATACAGATATATACCCAGTCCTTCAATAATTTATTCAACAAGCATATATTAAGTGTTTACTAAGTCCCAGACACTATTCTAGGCACTGGCAGCATAGCTTTGAAAAAGAATATGAGATTCTTGCCCTTACATTTTACATTTACATTTTACATTTTAGTAGAGGGAGACAGAACATATCAACAAATATATTCTCTTCTTCAGGTAGTGGTAGTTAAAGTAAAGCAGCGGGTGGGGTTAGAAGAGGACGTCTAGAGCATGCTGCTATTTTATACCTGAATGAAATGAATAAAGGAAGTATTGCATAAAAGTCTTCGTCGTGATTAAGTCTATGGACTGAAGAGGAAGAGCATTTTTGACATGTTCAAGCCACAGCAAGAATTCCAGATGTCTGAAACACAGTAAATGATGGCAAAGAGTGATAGCAGATGAGTTTGGAGAGGCAGAACAGAGGCCAAGGCGTATGGAGACTTGCAGGCCATAGTGAGTTTGAATTTTCTAAGTGGTGTGGGAATTCACTGAGCTAGGAACAGATATGACCTTAATCAGTTTCTAAAAAATCACAGTAGTTAGTATAAGGATGGGTGGAGTAGAGGTGCAAGACTGATTAGAAGCCTACTGCATGGGTGGAGGGGAAAGGTAATGGTGATCTAGATAGGAAGATCATGGTCAAAGAGATGAGAATTGGTGTGTGTTCACATACCAATTGGGAAACTATGGAGTACTTAACACACAGAGGAGTCAAGAAGAGTTAAAGAGGTAACATCCACATTGAATGTCCATAGATGGGTAAGGACAGCTGGGAAAAGGACAAACCAAGTGACAGCATGAAAAGAGCATATGAGTTTAGTAGCCTGGGCTAGAATGGGTGATAGGAATGGCAAGGTTTTGGGAAATTATAGTTATGAATAAGTCTGGGAGCTGAAGTTGGAGGCTAATAGAATTAATTAAATTTATCTGTACAATTCAGGCAATAGGGAGATTTTTGAAGGAGTTTCAGGAGAGAAGTAACATGACATATTATAATTTAGACAGATCATATTGAAAGTAATTTGGACAATATAGCACATGGAACATACACCAGCCACAGGGAGGCCACTGATGTTATTCATGTAGTAATAGAAAAATAAATGAGAATGAGGTAGTGTAGTGGCAGGGAGAATGGAGAGGAAGAGCATCTATAAAGTCTTTTCTTTCATCTTTGGATCAGCATTTCATCAACCACTATTTTCCTTCTATTTTGGAGGTGAAATTTATTTTACATTTCTTCCTTCATTCCTTGCATGCTGTTCTTAAATCGTGCAAAACTGTCGGTTTTCTTTTTAAATGAGCAAAACTCTTTTTGACCAATTTAAACTGAATTTGTATATAACCCCAAAATACAGATTTATAAGAAAATACAACTGAATAACTTTCTTTAAAAATACCTTATTACATTATTTTAAAAAGTTTGTAGCACTCTTTTTGAGTAATTACCCTGGGTTTTTGCATTTGGCTTTGGAACTGGCATAAAACTGTAATTCACTTTTTTAATTATTATTACAAAAGATATGTCCTTATATCTCACCACTATAGCCAAAGTAGGACAAATGGCCAAGGAGTGTAGTACCATTGGTACCTAAAAGAACAATAATTATAGCAAAAGGAAATATAATTTATTGATTCCTTACAATGTTCCAAACAGTATGCTAGCTTCTCTCTGTACATTATACGCTCTATATATTTTTCACAAAGCCTTTTAGAAATAATAGCATTACTATTTTGCAGATTAAATATCGGTGTTTCAGAGAGTTTAAGGAACATGTCCAAAGTGACACGTTCCTTAAACGTGTGGGTTGTGAGGTCATGCCCAGAATCAAGCTGATAGTATTAGTGGTATGAGAATTTTACTTTCAGATCTAAAAATGATAGAAGCCTTTATTGACTTGAGAGTAGGTCTATATAGTTATTCTTTCTTATAGTAGTTGTAATGGCAATAACCAGACTAGAACCACATCAAGTATCTTCCTTCTGCCAAAGAACATGGACTCTGGCTGCAAATCTGCCAGGTTTCAAATCCCAGCATTATCTCTTACTATGTAATCTTGGGCAAGACAATTGCTAATGACTCCATTTCATTTTCTCAGCTGTAGAATGGGGTGAATACTTATTCACATCTCGTTGAATTATTGGGAGGCTTAAATGAGTTAAAATATGTAAAGTGTTTAGAAGAGTGCCTAGCACAGTAGGCTCTATATAAATGTTATTATCATAACCTCTAATTTTATCAACATCCTCATTACTCCTCAGATGATATTATTTCTCAAAGGATGAATGAAGGGGAACGTAGCAAATAATTTCAAATAATACTCAAAAAAACCTCTATATTTAAAATTGAGCTATTTTAAAAGCAAATTTAATCGATGTACTTTTTAGTAATATAATACAAATGAATACTATTAGGGAGTTAATTGTAGTATGATTTTAGATATGCCATTAGAAGGTCATCCGTTAATGTTGTCTAATTACTTTTTAAAGTTTTCATGATATAGAAAGACTTAATTTTCGTTGTTCTTATGAATTTTAAAAAATAGTATGATTTGATTTTGTTTGCAAGTCTAGTATGTATCTAAAATGTTCTCTCTGACCTTTTCTCTTCCTTTGAGCTTTTGCTTTAGAATTAACTCCCTCTCCTCTACTGCTTTACTTTTAGTGCCCTGTGGTGGAATTTTAACTAAGCGCAAAGGGACTATTTTGTCTCCTGGATACCCTGAGCCTTATGATAACAATCTGAATTGTGTATGGAAGATCACAGTGCCAGAGGGAGCTGGCATTCAAGTAAGAATATTTAAATTTTTCTTCTTTTCATTGTATGTTTGAAGTTAATCTTATCGAAGATGACAGAATGAACATTATTTCTAAATGTTTAGCAAGTGTCTTTGACTGACATGCATGGTGGAAATTAATAGAAAGATTTATTATTTTTTTCCTGTGAAAGTAACAGAAAGCAAATTCAGGATGGTATAAGCAATGCAAAATATGTGTTGCCCTACATAATATAGAATCTCAAAGTAAAATGATTCAAGAGTCGTTTACTTCAGAAGTTCAGTTGCGTTATTTCTGACCCTAGTTACTTCCATCTCTCGGTTCTGCCATCCTCAGCATATTGGCTTCAGTCCTTGGACTTCCTTTCTTATGGTCTTGAGGTGGCCACAAAAGCTCTAAGCATAACAGCCTTACATAGCAATGGCCAATAGCAAAAACGGAAGGTTCCTATCTATATACCTTTTCAATGGTTAAAAAAAATTCAAGAAACCTGCCAGTAGATTTTCCCTCCTATCTTATTGGTCAAAATTGCAATAATATCCATTCCTAAACCATACACTGGGCAATAGCCCATGATTTACTGTGATTTCGCTCCAAGAAAACAATATTAACTGCCTGCAGTAGGTAAGGAGCTCAGCCTCCTCTGATGTATACGTTTCTCATTTAATTGAACTAAACCAGGTCTCTGTTAGCAAGGAAGAGGGATGGTCTTTTACAGGCAATCAACAGTGTCTATCATGTTATTTTAATTGTGACCATTTTTTTCTTGGAGCAATTTGACCAGTTTCTCTGTTATACAAAGAGATTGTTTCTGGATGAATTGATGACATTTTATTGCCGAGTCATTATATACTCTATGGAAGGTAATTATACATTATAAAATATTACATTGTCTAATCTTCATAAAAATAACTTGATTATTTCTCCAATGGATTCATAAGGTTTTCTTTTAGAAACCTGAGACATGTAACAGTTGTGGAAAAAACAGCCAAGATACCATGCATTCAAGCTGTAATTTGATAGCATAATTTTTAGTAAAAAAATGTAAGCTTCTTGAATTTATAATTATTCATAAAATTTAAAAAATTACTTGACAAGTGTAGGAATAAAATAGACTAGTAAACTAATAAGAAAACATGAAACATGTACATTAAGGACATCTGAAGACTGTAGATTTATGTTTACATTCTGGTTAACTGTACTATAAGTTTATGGCCAATTTGTAAAATTTCGATATAACTAGTAAATCCTATCTTGGTATAATACAATAATAAGGACTGCAGGATTGTCCATGTTCCAGGGGTACAGAGAATCTGAAATGAGATGCTAGCTTTAGAACCTTCACAGAACTTTAACCACACCATCTGATTAGTTATAAGCTTCTGAAGGTTATCCTAGAGCGTCTCTGTATTACAACTTATTCATTTCCAACTCATCTTAAAATAACAAAAACTCTGGCATATTTTCTTTAGTTATCATCCTTTATTTTTGACCCACTGCAATGTGGCTTCAACACCCAATGTTCTAAGCAAGCCCGTTATAGTGAAGACCTCTATGTCAGCGGTCCCCAACCCCTGGGGCCACAGAATGGTACTGGTCTGTGGCCTGTTAGAAACTGGGCCACTCAGCACGAGGTAAGCAGTGGGGGAGCAATTGAAGCTTCACCTGTATTTACAGCCACTCTCCATCGCTTGCATCACCTCCTGAGCACCACTGTCAGATCAGCGGTGGCATTGCTCTCATAGGAGCGCAAACTCTGCTGCAAACTGTGTACGCGAGGCATCTAGGTCGTGCGCTCCTTGTGAGAATCTAACGCTTGCGCTTGATGATCTGAGGTGGAGCTGAGGCAGTGATGCCAGCACTGGGGAGTGGCTGCAAATACAGATTATCATTAGCAGAGAGGTTTGACTGCACAGTAAATGTAATGTGCTTGAATCATCCCGAAACCATCCCCCAACTCCCTGGTCCATGGAAAAATTGTCTTCCATGAAAACAGCCGCTGGTGCCAGAAAGGTTGGAGATCGATGATGCTCTGTGTGATTAAATCCATTGTGTTGCTCATCTTGCTTGCTTTGTTATTAGCTCTCTATCCTGCTGATTCTCTCCTCACTCTTACAACACTTTTTTCCCCTCTTTAGTTCCTATGACACCAATATTTTTTTGGACTTTGTTTAGTTTTCTTTTCAACATCAATTGTTCCTGCTTCTACATCCCCTGCATGATTTCCTTTTCCAGTTCAACCCATCATTCAAATATTAGTGTTTATAAGATTCTGTGTCCTTTGTTCATCTTACTTTATACCATTCTTTCTACCTCCTTGTCTACTTCCATGACTTCAGCTACTATTATGTGCTGATGATGCCCAGGACCTGAATCATAAGAGACAAACAGAAAATAGGTTTTTGAAGGGAGAGCTGAATAAATAATGATTTTCAGACCTAAATAACTACCCCAGACCTCTCACTTAAGCTGCACATCATATATCCAACTGCACACTGGATATTTTCAGCTGAACTTCTTGGTGGCATGTCATATTCAACCTGTCTGTAACTGACTGTAAGTTTTTCTCAAAATTGTAGATCTTTCCCAGTGTTCTCTGTCTCAAAATGACCCCCTCATCCATTAAGTAACATAAGCCAGAAATCTTGATATTTCTCCGTCTCCTACTCTGCACAGTGAAATATGTCAGGTCTATCTTTCACAAATCTCCCAAACAAGTCTATTTCTCTCTATCCATACTTCTACCACCGAGATCAAGTTGTTATAATCCCTGTCCCAAGTTCTCATTTTCCTCCAACCTATTCCCATAGGACAAATAGAGTAACCTTCCGAAAATAAATATCTAGTATCACTTTCCTACTTATAATACCACAATTGTCCCCAATCTCCTTAACTCTTTGACACAATTGATTATGCCTTTGTGCTCTGTTTTCATTTCTTGGCTATTCTATTCACACTATTTTAGTTTTTTTTTTTATAAAAGCCTGGCATTCTCTATTCTTTGGACCTTTATGCATGTTGTTTCCTCTGATGCAACACTTTCCATGATCTCTCTTTATTTGACTTATTCTTACTTATCATTTCTGTCTCAACTTAAATATATTTTCTATGGGAGGCCTTCTATGAACTTGAGATAAAGTTAAGCTTGCTCTATGTTCTCATAGCTCTATGTAATTTCTTTATCATAACACTCATCACATTTTAATGTTGCTACCTAATTATCTGTAAGCTCATCAGGGAAGTACCAAGTCTGTTCTGGCAGCTAGCACAGTTTCTGGCAGTATATGCAGCACAGTGCCTGGCAGTATATACTCAGTAAATGTATTTAGAATGAATCAATGAATATCTTCATAAGCAGTGGAATTTTGACTATTTTAGAGAGTTAACAGGCATGATGAATTAATAAGATGTCTGTAGAAAAACTATGTTGTATGTCACTTGTCTAAGGCAAACACTCTTCAGAAGTGGACGCATATCAATGACACTGTAAAATCTTTCACCGAGGAAGTACTTTGTTTAATGATTGCACTTCAGAAAACAAAATTTAAGTTTAGTAGAGCACTTAGGAAATGTATTCCGCGTGAAGTATATTGGACTTTTAATTTTAATTCTAATGGATTACCAAGCACTTTTAAAAAATTAACCCCTTATATGATGCTAATTTTAGACGTATCACTAAATCACATAACTTGTATACACGTATACACTTACATACACACACATGTAATATATGACTTATATTAAAAACTTCACTAAGTTTAGCTGAAAACTACCTGGGTAGTGCACTAGGTTTAAAGCAATGTTTAATTTATTTTACTCTGTTGGGCTGAATATGTGTATGAGTAAAGACTTATATGAATAAATCATATATGAGATTAAATGATATAGTCATTGGGGAAAGAAGAAATATTTGGAATGCTGAAAATATTACAATAATACAGAATGATTGAGCATGAAAAATTAGTGAGGAGGAGTGTATTCATCCATTTTCCCATTTATTTTAGGAGAATTTATTAAAGCAAGAATTCCAAAAGTGCTACATGCACCAGTTGACAACAATAGTTGTCAAGAAAAGGGAATCTTTATGTACATAACTGTGTCAACTTATAGCATGATCATCGTGAATTCGTGTAATCTTTCAAACAAAATAAAATGGGATTTGAACAGATGTATGTTAGATGCCTAGTTTTGATGATTGGAAATTCATTACCTCGTAAAGCTATTTTATTGCCATGACGGACAACTTCATCTAATGCAAAGTTTTTCTGAATGCTGAGTCAAAAGCCATCTCTTTTTAAATCTTTAGTTGGCTCTCGTTTGGCTTTCTGTCATAGTGGGTTCTCAATCATTTGTTTCAGTCTCTTAACAGATCTCATAGCATCACCTGCTAATTCTTCTGACCACTTTGAGTTTCTGCACCCTCTATCTTTTTATATGCCAAACTACATTTACAGTTTACTCAGAATCCTAGTGGCAAATTATATTAAATGTCGGTGGCTGCTGTAATAGATTACCATGAACTTTATAGCTACAAACAATGGAAAATTATTTTCTCACAGTACTGGAGGCCAGAAGTCCAAAGTCATATTTACTACAATGAAGTCAAGATGCTGGCAGATTTTCTCCTCCCCACCCCCCAGGATTTAGAGAATCCTTTCCTTGTTTTTTCCAACTGCCAGTGATTGCTACCATTCCTTGGCTTCTGGCCATATCACTCCAATTTCTATCTTTGTGGTCACGTTTTCTTCTCTTCTATCAGTGTCAAATCTCCCTCTGCATCTTTCCCCCTATCTCAAGATTCTTAAATTAACCACACCTGAAAGACCCTTTTCCATGTAAGGTAATATTTCAGGGTCCAGGGATTAGGACCTGATAACTTTGGCAGATATTTTTCAGCCTAGTATAAATATGTATCCAAAATTAAACAGATTTTCTTTCTCCCATCCAGGTAATAGGTTTTCCTGTAGATGTCTACATTTTTGTTCTTGCTACCCCTGTACTCTTCAATAACTCAGAAAAAAAAAAAAGATAAATTATTCTTAGATTTTGCTACTCACTTCCTCCCTTACTTGAATCACACAAAATTCAGTAACTTCCCCTATAGCAACATATGTGACGTACAGGTCCCTCTTTCTACTATTCCCACCTCTAACCTAGTTTAGCTTTTCATTGCTTCTCTATGCCATAAACACTGAAATATTACTGTAACAGACATTGAAATTGTCTTCTCACGTTTATTGTCTTCACCCAGTACAATGCTGTATTTAGAGCACAGTTCTGATTATGTTCTTTCTCCCACTCCTAAAACCTTCAGTGAAAAACTGAAGGTATATTTATACCTTCAAGTGCTTAATTATCATACTAGTGTTAAGCTTTTATGGAGTCTCTCTCTCTCTCTCTCTCTCTCTCTCTCTCTGTCCTTTAGCTAAGATTTATTGAGTCCTTACATGCTGGGCACTATTCTAAACTCTTTATACATATTAACTAATTTAACTTTTATAAAAATCTATGAATTAGATATTTTTATTACAATTATTTATGTAAGTAATCTGAGGTGCAGAGAAATTAGCAACTTCCCTAGGGTTACATGCCAGTGAGTAGAGGGAGCCAGGAAGTTGCAAATTCAAGTACTCTAAGATCTGTGATATTTATGTACTAAACTCTACTCTTTCTAACTTTTCTATGCTTTTTCTAACTTTGCATGCATATTTGCTCTTATGTAAATACTCTCCACTGTGGCTAAATTGGATTACTAATGGTTCACTAAATCTAGCTCGTGGTTTGCCTTCTCTACATTTTCACATAGTCAATAATTTCCTTTAGTGGAAAACCTCTCAGAATCTTAAGCTTAGCCCCAAATGTC